TATGTGGTTTGCACGTCCTGTGGCGCCTGGCAGTACACTTCCAAGGCCAAGAAGAAAGTCTGGTGCAAGTGCGGCGAGCCCTTCCACATCCCCGACGCTGGTGGTAAAAGCACCCAGCCCAGTCAGGCGAACGAGAAGGGCGCGCCGCAGGACCAAGATATGAAGTCCATCCTCACTGCGATCCTGGGGGTGCTCAGTGACGCCCAGAAGCAGGAGCTCGGGCCCGCCGCCCAGTCAGCAGCGGCGCTCGTGACGGAGAAGAAGCCCGCCCCCGCCGCAGCTGCAGTGGCAGCTCTCCAGCGGGTGCGGCAGCACGAGAAGAAAGTTGCAGAACTTGATATCCACGTACAGGAGTTGGAGACCCAGCTCCAGGCCGCCAAGGATGACCGCGCCAAGGTAACCATTGAGTTGCAGGAGGCGCGCCAGCAGTTCGAGGCGGCCAGCCAGCAGGCCACCGCCCAGTGGGGCGCCGCCGCCGCGGCCGAGGACGCCATGGAGGAGGACGAGGAGGCGGCGCCCAAGGCGGCCCCCGCGGCCGAGCAGCCCAAGGCCAGCGTCCCCGAGCTGCCACCAGGGCTGCGCGCCGCCGTCAGCGGCCTGCAGGGCGAGGACGCCGAGCAGGCCCAGGCCTTCGTGCAGCAGCTCGAGGCAGCGACCAAGGCGGGGAAGGCACCGCCGCCGAAGCGGCCGCCGCCCAAGCGCCAGGGCGCCGCTGGCGGGCCCGCAGCCAGCGCAGCGGGAGGAGCGGATGACGATGGCAGGCGTGGTCGCAAGACCGGCAAGTCGCCCGTTCCCCACCGCAGCCGCAGTGAGCCCAGGGGCCGTGGGGGGGCTGCAGGCGGGGGCCAGAGGGACTGACCGTCTCCCCGAGCCGCCAGCAGGGCGCACAGACGCGCCCAGCAGCCCCCCCGCAGATGGGGCCCAGCATATTTTCACCAACGATCAGCCGATAGCAAGTTTCACCAGTCTCGTCATCAGCCAGTCGGATGACATCATTAGCCTCAGCGACAGCAGTGAGAGTGACCTTGTCAGTTTTGACCCGTCCGTCGTCAGTGTCAGTGCCGCGGGAGATGCAGGGCACCAGGATGACCAGGATGGGAGGGGAGAACAAGGAGGGGAGCCACTCATGCTGTATCTCGCCAACATCACTAGCTGGCACAAGAAGGCCAGGGACTACGCTCAGTCCAGCGATTTTGCGCGGCCGCATGTCATTATGTTTAGTGAAATGCACGTTCGACGAGATAAACTGCGTGACGTGCATAAATTCATGAAGAAGCAGGGGTGCAGGTCCTACGTCTGCCCAGCTGTCAGGACTTCGGCGACGGGGTCTCATGGAGGGGTAGGCCTCTTCGTCCTGCGCAGCCTCTGCTCCCACGCCCGCATCATGGGGGCGAACGGACGTGACCAGCCCCTCTACGGTGGGCAAGGGTGGACAGCTTGCCACCTCCGTCTTCGAGGGCACAGCCTGATTTTGGTTTCCACTTATCTGCAAAGTGATGCAGGATACAACGAGTACAATACGCAAGTGACCAGCCAGATCGCCACCTTCCTCAGAGCCCACAAGTTGCCCTTTATCATCGGGGGGGACTGGAACATGACAGGGAAGGAGCTCATGGAGGGGGGCCTCTGGGTGAAGACCATAGGTGGGGTCCTCGTCGAGCCGAAGGTAGACTCCACCTGCAACGGGCGGGTGATTGACTTTTACGTGGTGTCTGAGAAGCTAGGTAGGCTCCTGCAGGTCACCCCAGATCGCACCAGTCCATGGAGGCCCCATCTTGGGTTACGAGGAGAGCTTCGAGTAGAAGTTCTCAGCAAGCACAGCACGTACCCCGAGGAGGCCCCAGATGTCAACATGTCAGGTGCGGCCCCGCGGCCGTGGGACGAGCTCCAGATCCTGGCTCTCCAGAAGTTCCCCGAGGCTCCAGAGGTCCTACATCCCGTAGCACAAGCGCATGTCGACGACACCCTCACGCATAGGTTTGCCGTCCTCTCGCAGGCCCTGGAGTGGTGGTGCTCGGTTCCAGACCTTGGAGGGCCAACCCGGGCCCAACCCTTTCGCCTGGAGACGCGGGCGGCTTTCAAGCCCAACCCTCCAGAACCAAGGGGGGGGGGCCGAGAGCCGAAGGTGGAGCACCATCCAGCAGAGAGCTCGGGAACGGGATCTTGCCAGGAAGCGTGACCCCACAGGCCCCAACCATCGGAGGCTCCAGAGGCTCATCGAGGCTACCGTCGTCGACCTAGATTGGGACTCAAACCTCGCGGATGACCAGCAGTGGGCGCTCTGGCACAGCCTGAGGGAGAGGTCCAGCGAGCCTTTCCCCTTGCACGACCTGCTAGAACAGCAGGTGCAGTTTTACGAGACCCGCGCGCTGAAGCAGGCCCAGGACGGTTTCGCGGACTGGTTGGAGACCAGCATCAAGCGAGGGGGCGGAGCCGCCCACGCCTTCACCAGAGAGATGGAGGTAGAGGTTACCCCCGAAGAGGCAGACAACCTGGTCCTGGAAGAAGAGGTCCTCATGGACCCCAGCGACATCCTTGAGGCCATAAGCGAATTCTGGCAGCAGTACTGGGACCCTGAGAAGATCCAGGCCACGAACCCCATCTCGGCCCCGTGGATCCAGGAGATACGGGAGGAGGCGATGGAGGACAAGGCTCTGGAGGCCCCCTGGACGGAGGAGGAGGTTCTGAAGGCCATCAGATCTTTCCCAGGACACTCGGCCACAGGCATGGACCAGCGGCGCGTACGAGATTTTGTTCGACTCCCAGGCCCAGGGCTCGCAGAGCTCACGAGCATGTTAAACACCATCGAAGAGAAGCAGTCGATGCCCGCCCAGTGCTTAGGGAACCTTGTAGCGCTCAAGCCGAAGACCGTGACGGCGGATAGGCCGATCACGCTCACCACCTCCCTCTACAGGCTGCTCATGAGGATGAGGAGGGGGGAGATCGGCAAGTGGGAGGCGGCCAAGGCAGGACACTGGGACGCGGCAATCAAAGGATCCAGCTGTCTGCGCGCAGGCATCGTTTCAGAACTTTTTGCGGAAGTGGGGGCGGAACTACAGATCAAAGTTGTCGAAGGGCTCTTGGACCTAGAGAAATTCTACGACACCATCCTCACCCACGTGTTAGCGGCTAAGGCCAAAGAAATGGGGTACCCAAGTATCTGTCTAAGTCTGGGGATCATGACCCACCTAGCAGTTCGATATCTCACCACGGGGATGGGGGTCAGCCATCCGATCATTCCCCAGCGCAGTATCTTAGCGGGATGCGGCCAAAGCGTGGCTTGGACGCGAGTTCTTTTGCACGACCCCCTCCATCAGGCGCATCTCAAGTTCAGCCGTCTCACCCTCAGGACCTGGGTGGGCGACCTGCGGGCCCGCGTGGTCGGCTCGGCCGCGTCCCTGCTCCAGTCCTTCCCCGAGGCTATGAAGTTTATCAAAGCAGGGCTCGTAGATCTTGGGTGCAGGTTATCCCCGAAGTCGGCCCTCTTGTCGAATGACAATGACATCAGGAACCAGGTCCAGGACTCCTGCAAGCTCCACGGGATCCCCCTGCAGACCAAGCTGGGCACCAGGGACCTCGGGTTGGACTCCACAGTAGGCAAGCGCAGGTACTTGAAGGTCAGCAGGGCTCGGCAGCGTTTGGGGTTCAGGAGGCACAAGAACATTCAGAGACTCCTGAGGGTGACCAAGAGTGCTCATCGTCTATATCGTGCAGGGGCTCAGCCACAGCTCCATTGGGGACTTGAGGGCCACGGGGTCTCCCCGACAGAGCTCAGCCAGCACAGGAGAGCAGCAGGGGCGGCCCTGGGGACCAGTAAGCCAGGCAGTTGTCTCACCGCAGGGCTCCACCAGTCGAAGTTGCCGCCAGAGGCCCTGGACCCCGCCATCTTCCATCGCGTCAATCTTTTTGAGATGTGGTTCGAGCTGGTGGAGACCCAGCCGCGCCTCAGGAATGGGATCGAGCTCGCCTGGCCCAAGGTGGTCGCCAAGCTCCAGCGGCCCAGGCGGTGGAACAATGTGGTCAGCCATCTCAGTGCCGTTGTGGCCACTCTCATCGACCTGGGGTGGCAGCCCGACTCAGCCTGGGCTTGGACAAGCCCAGCGGGCCAGGTTTTTCGAGTCCGACCTGGGAGTCTGCAGGAGCAAGACTATTTCATGCGCAGATTCCAGCAGTTCCTCCACCACCGAGTCTGGAGTGGGGCCCAAGGGGGACACGCAGCAGGAGGGGTACATGATGGAGTCGATATCAAGAGTTCGCGGTGGCAGATCGAACGGATGTATCGCGACGGACAGAAGAACCTCGCGAAGGCGCTCAAGACAGTTTGTGCTTGTTCAGCCTGGAGCCCCAGGCGACGCTTCGAGGCAGGCTTAGCAGACGACTCGGTTTGCCCGTTGTGCGGAGACCATCATTGCGATGATTATCACAAGTTCTGGGGGTGCCCGCTCCTTTTCCAGGCCGAGCATCCCCTCATTCAGGAAACAGAGGACCTAGTGGACGCCGCTCAAGGGAACGACCAGCCAGCTTGTCTGTGGCTCCGAGGGCTCATTCCAGCAGGTCTCGCTCTGAAGGCTGTAGAAGACACCACACCTCAGCGCCCCGTCCTAGTTGGGACTGGCGCTTTCCTGGGCCCTCCTGAGCCGAGGGGCGGTTGGCGCCTCGGTTCGGTGGATGGCTCAGGGGGTGCTTTCTCTTCCGATCCCCGCCTGAGGCGTGTAGGATGGGGTGCGGGGGTCTGGGATGAAGATTAAAACCTCCTTGGCACTCTCCAAGGGAATGTCATAGGGCTCCAGACCATCAATCGGGCTGAGCTCAAAGGGGCCATCGAGCTCCTCAGGCACACCCAGGGCGACCTTATAGTGGTCACCGACTCGGCCTACCTCATCCGTGGGTACCGCAGGGGTCCCCGTAGGCGAGCTCGTTCCAATCGTAGGCTCTGGGCCGAGCTTTGGAGGGTCCTAGGGGCTCGCGCGGGCCAGGTTCGGTTTCTTAAAGTAAAGAGCCATGCCACGGACCCTGAGGTCCGCGCCCGTTTTCCCGCCTGGGCCCTGTATGTGAATGAACAGGCCGACGAATTCGCTGGACAGGCTGCCGCCTCTGCCGCCGCGCCCCAGGACCTGGTCGACCGAGTGCTGGCCTTGGACACACTCGCAGAGCAGATCCGAGGGCGATTGGCCACTGTCCAGATGATGTGGTGGACCCACTACCCAGTAGAAGAGGCTCCTGCTGAGACCAAGAGAGCTCAGCGTAAGGAGCGGAGTGACAAAGCTTTCCAGCACCTTTTAGAGGTGACCGCTCACTGGCCCGAGGTCCGCGATGACCAGGTTTCCTGCGTCAGGTGTGGCAAGCAGACCCACAGGAGGTGCTGCGCTCGCTGGCTCAAGCTCCCTTGCCCCGCCGCCAGGCCCGCGGCGCGAGCGCAGGAGCCCTCCAGAGCCGCGAGTTCGTCACAGGACATCGGGCAGGAGGCGGCCCTCCCTGCCGCTGGAGGCCCGCCCCCCATCCATCCTAGCCACCGGCCCCACCTCGCCGTCTGCCGTGGGGCCCTCTGGCGTCGGAGGTGCGGGTGCTGAAAGGTTCGGGCCTCCAGGAAATTCAAAGAGCAGTGCACCCCGCCTTGCAACAGTCAGAGTGGGGGGCACAAGGCCATTTTGAAGCTCACCAAGGAGCAGCCCCCCCCCAGGCCTCAAGGAATGGCCCCGAGGGAGCTCGTGAGCCCCACTAGTCCCCCTATCGTGTAGGGATCGAGACTGCCCGATGGGGCGCGCGCGGAGGAGGAGGAGGAGGAGGAGGAGGAGGAGGAGGAGGAGGAGGAGGAGGGGTGGAGGAGGAGGAGGAGGAGGAGGAGGAGGAGGAGGGGAGGAGGAGGAGGTGGAGGAGGGAGGAGGAGGAGGAGGAGGGGGGGGAAGGAGGGGGGAGGAGGAGGAGGAGGAAGGAGGAGGATGAGGAGGAGGAGGATGAGGAGGAAAGAGGAGGAGGATGAACGAGGGAATGGAGGAGGATTGAGGAGGTGGACGAGGGAGTGAGGAGGGGTCGAGGAGGGGGGAGGGGGTGGGGGAGGGTGGGAGGGGAGGGGTAGGGGGAATTGGAGTGGGAGGTAGGGAGGTGGGGGAGGTGGAGGGAGGAGGGACGACGTGGAGGGGGGGTGGTTTTGGACTAGGTGGAGGAGGAGGGCAGGAGGAGGAGGGAGGGGGGGAGGATTGAGGAGGAGGGAGGTGGAGGAGGATGGAGGAGGAGGAGAGCAGGAGAGGAGGAGGTAGTGGGGAGGTGGTGGGGGAGAGGGGGAAGGTATTGAGGAGGGGGACGTGAGGAGATGGTAGGAGGAGGTCGTCGAGGTGGGGGGTGTCGGAATAGGAGGAGGAAGGGGTAAGAGGAGGGGGGGGAGGGGAGGAGGGAGGAGAGGGAGGAGGAAGGGGAGAAGGAGGAGGAGGAGGGGAGGAGAGAAGAAGGAGGGGGATGGGGATAATTGATGAGGGAGGGGGTCGGGAGGAAGAGGAGGGGGAGGAGGAGGAGGAGGAGGAGAAGAAGGAGGAGGAGGAGGAGAAGGAGGGGGATGAGGAGGGGGACGAGGAGGATGAAGGGGAGGAGGACGAGGGGGAGGAGCAGCAGGAGAAGGAGGATGAGGAGGAGGGGGACTAAGATGACACTAGTAATAGTAATAATAATCATAATACGAATACTACTAATCATATTAATCATACTACTAGTAGTAACAATACTACGAGTA